TAAAGAGTGACGCACACAGCTGGGAGACCAGGGGACACTAAAAAGTGACGCACACAGCTGGGAGACCAGGGGACACTAAAGAGTGACGCACACAGCTGGGAGACCAGGGGACACTAAAAAGTGACGCACACAGCTGGGAGACCAGGGGACACTAAATAGTGACGCACACAGTTGGGAGACCAGGGGACACTAAAAAGTGAAGCACACAGCTGGGAGACCAGGGGATACTAAAGAGTGACGCACACAGCTGGGAGACCAGGGGACACTAAAGAGTGACGCACACAGCTGGGAGACCAGGGGACACTAAAAAGTGACTCACACAGCTGGGAGACCAGGGGACACTAAATAGTGACGCACACAGCTGGAACGCTTGGTGACGTTCAGGATTATAAAGCTGAACAACTGTCTCTGTCTCAGAGTTATTCTGTCTCATAACTGTAAGTGTTCGTCAGTATATCTCAAATGACTAGGTTAGCTACGTTTGCTAGCTAGCTTACAGCAGAAGGAGTCATGTGATCACATTGTTAAAATAAGCCCATAAAACATTTTAGGTAAGTTTCCAGCAACAGAGACAGTTGTCCAACTTTATAATCCTGTGTGCGTCACTTTTTAGTGTCCCCTGGTCTCCCAGCTGTGTGCGTCACTCTTTAGTGTCCCCTGGTCTCCGTTGTGTTTTCAGCTTCTTGCAGCGTTTTGTATTTACAGCGTTTGGTTTCTGCAGCTTTTAGTAAACGCTGTGCATGTTTCCTCAAGTTGGTGAATGTCTTCTAAATGCTGCATGTGTTGTCAAGTTGCTGAAGATGTTTCTTCATTTGCATGTGTTTTGGGTTTTTATATTTGCATCGTCTCTGAAGCTGCATTTTTCCCCATTGTCAAATCAAATGACATTAAAAGCATGTAGAGCTATGTTACGGCCGCCGCCTTCTATCTGCCCATTAACCTGTCTATAAGTGTTTGCAGCTGTGTATTGTATATCTATATGATATGTGCCGTTGCCCAGACGCCATTGGATGCCAGCTTCCTGTCCCTCCCCTAGTAGGCGTGACCGAAGATCTGGATTGGAGCATGCCGGGCCCGACTCTCCAATCCCCGCAGACACCTTCCGGAGACAACTACAAGACCGTGTGCACCGTGTTAGTCCACAGAGATTGTTTGCAATCCGCCAAAAGCAAGAGAAGTAGTCGACAGAGGTCTGCATCTGTGGCAGACGTCTCTTGGCACTCTCCCTGTATATTCTGTGCTTAACAGTGGTTAACTAGGTTGTGTGTGTATTTGTGCTTGTTAGTGTAACTCTGTTTATCTATATAACATGTGTGATTTGAAAATTGTTTTAAATGCTGCCAAGAAAAAGCTAATGATGTTCTCGAAAGCAAAAGCCAAGGTCTTGAACCTTTTTGAAGGTTGAGGTTGAATCTGTGTCGCTCTCTTTTAAACCACACATTGTGGAACTCTTGAAAAAATTAAGAATAAAATTAGGTTTTTTCTTTAGAAACAAGTCTTGTTTTTCCTATGAGGCCAAAAAGAGACTAGTGTCTGCAACCTTTCTGTCTGTGCTGGATTATGGAGATGTGGTTTATATGAATGCATCTTCTCAGTGCCTTCACTCGCTGGACACCGTCTACCACGGTGCACTGAGATTCATCACAAACCTCAGATCCTTGACGCACCACTGCAATCTATACACTCGTGTTGGATGGTCTTCCCTGACCACGCGTAGACTGAAACATTGGCACATCCTTATATATAAGGCTATTCTTGGTGCTCTTCCCCCTTATCTAAGTGTGTACATAAATAAAAAATGCACTGGATCCTATCGGCTTCGCTCAGAGAACTTTTTCCTTTTAACTGTACCAAAGGTCCGTACTGAACTTGGGAAAAGGGCGTTCAGTTACGCTGCCCCTCAAGCTTGGAACCTGCTTCAAACTGAGCTGAAACTCAGAGAGCTGGTCTCATTAGAAACACTCAAAGCAACTTTAACTGACCTTGAAGCAGGCCGCTGTGTCTGTAAATGCTTTGGCTAAACTTGGTGTATGACTGTGTTGTGATTGTGTGTTTTTTAATTGTTTGTAACTGTAAAACTGTCTGAAACTGTGCTGTTACCATTCTTGGGCCAGGACTCTCTTGAAAAAGAGATTTTTAATCTCAATGAGACCTATCCTGGTTAAATAAAGGTAAAATAAAATAAATAAAAATACTTCAGACTACACATGAGAATAAAACGCTTTTTCTTGAATTTGTATTGAACTAATAGATGTACTCTTATTCAGAATGCATGCAAATAATAAGATGCTAATATTAACAGGGGAAAATAGCTAGCCTTGATCTGTGTGAAGGAAATTCAATCTCCACTCACTGCCCTCGGTTTATGGTAAAAGAGAAATGTGTTTGGATTTTTCATTTATTATCATAAATGTAAATTAGTGATCAGTGAAGTCCTGGTTTAAGGTTTTGAATAAGGGGGAAGTCCATTGCTACTGATGAAACAACTCGAGGAAATTTAAAGGAATGTGCGACAGTTGCCTGCATGCGTCATTAGAAACCAAAGCGGTAACCACAAGACTAACTGAACAAATAGCACTGTAGTGAAGGTAATGGCTCACACAGAGCAATGTTCAGGGTTTTTCATCCCATAACAAAAATACTCAACAAAAACAGAACTTTCAATATAACTGAATCTACCAGACCAATGGCCGCTTGTGGCTAAAGGAGAAATACATCAAGAAGTCTACCACTGTGCAGCCTACATTGGAAAATGAAAATCCAATTAGCTTTTCAAGCTCTCAGGCAGACGGTACCTTAAAGTCATATGTGTAGTTGGTGTAAGGCATCAGATTGCTGTCGTAGGCGCTCTTCAGCTGGAAGCTGTGTGTGATGCTTCCGTCTGAGTTGCCATTCTTGCCGTTGCAGTTGAAGTTGGTCAGACATTCATTGTAGCGTAGCTCCTTGAAGTCCTTGTGGTTGTCGGCCACTCCTCCGTTGCTCAGGAATTCCACCACACCTGGTTTATTGAAAAAGGTAACGTTTTTATTTCAAAAGGAGTACCACAGTAATCAAGCAAATATCTATATATTTGGATAAAAACTGTGACGGAGGACGATTGCCCAAAGGATTATATTGCAGACGGTTTAGCAGCTGCAGCTTGCTCGCTCAATGCTGGACACATTTCTGGATTTGTTGTCCAAATTGGTAACTTTCACACAAAACATAGACTTGTAATATCCAAGCAGAACAATACTGAACCGAGGTTCCTGTAAGAGTGACAGTCGTACCGGAGTCGGGCAGCGAGTTGAGGTCAGCACACAGGACGATGGGGATGGAGGATGGGTTGGAGGCGGGCGAGCCGGTCGCCATGGAGCTCGAAGCCCTTTCAGCGATGCTCTTCAGCTCCGACAGGAACATCATGGTTTGGATCAACTTGACATCCGAGTACTCGGGGTCCCAGTGCATGTGGGCGTTGGCCACCAGGATCAGCTGCCTCTCCTGTGGCACCTTCACGCCTGAAAACAGAGGAGAACATTGGATTATGAAGACTTTTAAGGAGTGAAAAAACTGTGGAATTAAATTCAACTTTCAACATTCACATGTGTATGTAGAAACCCCCCCCAAAAAAACCTGGTCTTATTATGGCGAGTTTGGTTACAGTAAAGCACAGAGCGCTGATGCAACTTTAGAAACTCAGAATTACTCTCAATGTAAAAATAAAACCATTAAAAGGAAGAACGGGGTTTACGTATTGTAATCCTAGTTATATAAGCACAGGCTACTGTACTCTATGGGTACTACTCTCTATCATGCTATGCGTGCATTCACCTACTGAGTTGCATAAACGTAGCCGGCCAATCGGGGCGAGCCTACCTGAATGCGCGCGCGGGCCCACAGTATATAAGGCGGCTACGCCCCCCGACAGTCTTCCTACACCCTCTTCAGCGAGCGGCATAGGAAAGACAGGGCCCCCAGGTGCCCTGTATGGGGCTTACTGCGCACCATGTTTCCCGGGTCCCTAAGGAGCATGGGAAAAAACATAAGCGCTTTATGTCCAGGGGGGGTCAGATACCTACTGACCCACAGCCCCCCCCCCTCTCACCAGTCATGTGTTGCCCCGGCAAGCACAGACGACGAGAAGGAGCCAGACATGTCCGAGAGATAAAACTTTATGAAGGGGGGCCTGGCGCAGACCAAGACGCCGCCGTGCATATATCTTCTACACTCACGCCGCTGAATAAGGCTGTTGACACAGCCACAGCCCGTGTAGAGTGTGCACGGACCCCAGGGGGGAGGGCTCTCCCCGCCCTTCCATAGGCATGTGTAATGCACTCGCAGAGCCATCCTGTCAGGCGCATCTTGGAGAGAGCTTTTCCAGCCACACCATCCCCAAACAAAACAAACAGCTCTTAAGTGCGGCTAATGGCAGCCGTGTACTCTACATGCAGCATACGGCTGAGTTGCGCTCTTTCCTCCTCCAAGCGGCTGAAGCGCTGCGTGACCGAGGTGATCGATCCCAAGAGCCCTTCCGTGGATACGGGGGCTCCAAGGAGATCATCACGCGCCTTCCTGGAGAGCGCCTTGAGTCCTAACCAAACGTGGCGTGATCCCACTGTGGCCAGGGACATCACACAGCCAGCTGTGGCGGCTACACCATGGACCAGATTATAAATGTTCCCGATGCAGCGGTCCGAATAATCACTCCGGTCTTCCTGCTGAGGGATGACCAGCGAGACCCCTAACACGCCCAGATTATTGGCCGGTTTTCTCCCCTCCGCCCAACCTGCTGCCTGTGGGAGCAGATGGGCCGCCAGGCTCTAATCGAGGGGGGGCACACCGGGACACGCTGTGTCCGTGCAGCCCTGCACCCTGAGCAAATCCGCCATGCCTGCCACCGGAGCCCTCGTCCTCAGAGGGTGCCGCCACGTTGCCCCCACACACTGCCAGATATCTGGCAACGGGAGCGAAACAAAGGCCGGCTGGGCTGGCTAAACCGGGCCATAACACCCCTGACGGGCAGATCTGCGCGTTGGACCCTCGTGGACGCCGGACCCAGAAGCGCCGACAACGAGAAGTCCTCGTCTTCTTCCTCCTCGACAAACGGGGCCGCCCAGCTCGTCAGAATGGCGAACACGGACGGCACCTCCTCGGCCACCTCCTGGTCCTCCATTTTGACCACCTTGAGCTCCACCTGGTCCTGTGCCTCGTCCGGCGAGACATAATGCTCCTGGAAGTGTTCCAGGCGATGCTGGCGTCTGATTCGCGGGAGCGCACGACAGGCACTGCAGGACTGAGAATGTTTGCTGCCCTCCACCGCGTGGTCGGGCCCCAAACACTCAAAGCACCAGCGGTGGGGATCAGTGCCCGCAATTAAGCCCGGGCATGTAGGGCAAGGCCGATGTTCGAGGAGTGGTGAGTCCATTCTTTCACTTTCTTCTATCTATCTTCTCACGTTTAGCTTCAGTTGTTGCTGCTCGCTGAAGAGAAAAAGGATGACGGTCGGGGAGTGTAGCCACCTTATATACTGTGGGCCTGCGCTCGCATTCAGGTAGGCTTGCATGAAAAACATGAAATGTTTATTCAACTAAAATAAATATTCTTTACACATTTAACAGTGATTTCTCTTCCCATATCAATCCATTGAAGGACATTTAATGTCGACGTTGACACCTTGATTTTGCCATGTTACTTTAATTTATTTAGAACAAATATTGTCAGATTGTTGATCATAAGGTGACTGCAACAATATAGATGTATTTTTGGTTACACTACTTTTGCTACAGCTAAACCCTGGATCATTGTATCAATGTTACAAAACAAAAACACTTTTTAACTGTTTAACTTTAAGCTACAAATGTCTGAGGGTCAATAAGTGGATTAACTGTATTGATTACTTGTGTATTCAGTTATAAGGATCAGGATTTGCGGTAATTGTCTGTGTTAAAAATATTTGGGTGGTGGACTGTTGAACAAGAAAAGCAATGAAGATGTCTCCTTGAGCTCTGTGAACTTGTTATGACATGTTAAATTCAAAAGATATATTTGACATATTAATTGGTAAACATAAAAAATATTTCTTTACTCTCCCGGTGGGCAAAAATGGGATGTTTCTGTGAAGTTGGACAACTTGCAGGCCTAAAAGGTGTGGCCTAGGTTTATTTATGTCAAATTCTTTGTTTTTTAAAAGTGGTTCTTACCATCGGAGAACATGTCCTTGTTGACCTCGAGCAGGACGGCCACACCGATGTTGTCTTTGGTCATCACGCGGTTCAGCATGACCTCGGAGCCCTCAGAGTTGGCCATGGCCACCTGGTTGAACTCCACAGTGTGTTTCTGGAGCAAAGTAAACCTGCAGGAGTATCCATAAAGCAGCATTAATATTGAAAGTATTCAGTGTAAAGTCTCGCATTAAATCAGCTGTTTTATTAATGTTCCCTTTTTCCTTCAACAATAACTGTTTTTTTTGTCAGAAATTAAAACGCTAAATGTGTTATTCAAAGTTAAAGTTTTGTCCCAAAAAGACTTTCAGAACTAGACCCGAGATCATTATTCAACCACATTAATGCAATCAGGGTCTATACATCTAGTTTGTCCATTGTTTGGGGGGCCTCTGCTTTCTACTCTTTCTACTTGTTCCGATTAACCCAGCTTCCCCAAATGTCTTTCTTTTTGGTGTCTATATACGCCGGGATCCGGAGTCATGGATGATCCTGCGGTCCTGTGTCATGGATCGCGAGTCCTGGATCTTGAGTCGTGGCTGTGGTCCTGGATCATAAGTCCTGGATGGATATCCTCGTGGATTCATCTTCCTATTATACACACATGTATTTCCAAACATTTGGACTACCTATGTTGCAAATGTATTATCTTTTCAATTTACACACGGCATCTATTGCACGTCTGTCCGTCCTGGGAGAGGGATCCCTCCTCTGTTGCTCTCCCTGAGGTTTCTCCCATTTTTCCCTTTAAACTGTGGGTTTCCTCTGGAAGTTTTTCCTTGTACGATGTGAGGGTCTAAGGACAGAGGGTGTCGTATTGTCATACTGATATTCTGTACAAACTGAAGTCCACTGAGACAAATGTAACATTTGTGATATTGGGCTATATAAATAAACATTGATTGATTGATTGATTGATTGATTGTGTACAGGCGTTGATGGCGGAAGAAGGTGCCGACACTGATG